TGGCCTGGAAGTAACAATGTATCTATCACCTTTGTCCACCACTAAAGTTTTCCTTCAACATTGTTTTTGAGTTCCTATCCAGTAAGATACTTCTTTTTTGAGATGGAATCTCACTGTGTCACCCAGGTTGGAGTGCAGTAAAGTGATCTCGGCTCACTGCAACTTTCGCCTCCTGGGTTCAAGCGATTCTCCTGCCTCAGCCTCCCAAGTAGCTGGAACTACAGGCACCCACCAGCACGCCTAGCCAATTTTTGTATTTTAGTAGATAGGATTTCACTATGTTGGCTGGGATGGTCTTGAACTCCCGACTTCAAGATCCACCCGCCTTGGCCTCCCAAAGTGCTGGGATTACAAGCATGAACCACTGCGCCTGTCCTTTTTTTTTTTTTTTTTTTTTTTTTTCTTTTTTTAAGAGATGGATTTTCGCTATGCTGCCCAGGCCAGAGTGCAGCGACTATCCACAGGTATAGTCGTAGTACGCTACAACCTTGAACTCCTGGGTTAAGAGATTCTCCTGCCTCAGCTGCTTGAGAAGCTGGGACTACAGGCAAACAGCTCTAAAATGCCTTTTGAGGTGTATAAATATAATTCATTTTCATAATGATGTAGTATTGCATCATATAGGTATGTCATATTTTACTTACATATTGATGAACATCTAGATTGTTACCATTTTTTATTACAGGTTGCTGCAGTGAACATTTTTATGTATGTCTCCTCATGCGCGTGCACAGAATTTTCTCTAGGAATTGGTTCTTTTTATTTAAAATATGTTGATCAAAGATGGATGTACAGCCATTTTATCTGTAGCACTTGGTTTTATGAACATCAGTTTCCGGCTTATACGCACCTCACCACAGTGAAAACCATTTTGAATGAGTGGGTCAGTTTATTTGTTTGCAAAAGTCTTCCTGTGAAGTTTGAGCCTGGTTTCCTGCCGTACGTTGTTGATGAACACTCTAGAAATATTTTTAAATGACATCTGGTTCGAGGAGGAGTAAGAGGTGAATACAAACTTCTTGTATCTAGAACCAACATCACTCCTCTTGGCAAACACAGAATAAGCTCTTATTAGTTGTTTAGCTGAATTGATCAAAGCATCTGGGTATCCTGGAGTAAAGAAAACGTGAGTCATGGATCATAGCTGCACTAGGATGTTCTTCCCCTTCTTTCCTGTCTCCATCCACAGCTTGTGCATGGGAAGCTTAGGTTTAGGCAGATCTTGATATCAGGAAGATGAATAAAATTGTACATTTAATGTAAGACAGTGTCTTGAAAAAGCAATAAATGTAACTAGAAGAGCATTAGATTTTTCATGAAGGTAAGAAATAAACATAGGTAAAGAAAAGCCAATTTCTTTTGCCACTTAAACCAATACTATAGTTCCTTTAAGAAGCTGAGGTGGGCAGATCACTTGAGTCCAGGAGTTCAAGACCAGCTTGGGCAACATGGTGAAACCCCAGAGATAAGATAATTCTTATCTCTCTTACCTTAATCCAAACTAATGATATAACATTTAGCTGAAATTTCAAAACTCTATACTTTTTCCAATTGTTTTGTTGAGTTGCTAAGAAAAACTTTGAAATGGTTTCAGAACGAGCTGGAGATGAAGCAGGAAGAAGGAACCAGGGTTCTGAACAACATAAAATGTTCAGGCATCACCTACAGTGTTTTTAAAAGTGAGACCTCTTTTCAGTTACCTGTATTTGCCAACATCCAACCACTTAAAAGGTTATGTGTGGGCTCTTCCTTCCAGAAGTTTGACAGCAGCTGTACCTGGGCCAATTCTGCATTTCTGGTACAGAACTAGTTTGTTTTCTGGGGTTTACACAGCTTGTTCAGTTCTTGTTATGCCGAAGTATCTCCTATTTTCCATTACTGCATAATTCTTTCTTTTTTTTTCTTATCTGCATGTACTGAAAGCTCTAAGTGTAGAATCCCTTTTCCTGGATCTCTAGCCACCACCTGTACAACCTACTCATTCTGCCACTCCTATACTTATTAACAACTGGGGGCCTTCTATGCTTTTCTGCAGGCTCATATAATCATGAACATATTAGAGATTATGCTTCCTACCTTTCTTCTCTTCTCCCTTCCTTCTTCCTTCCTTCCTCCCTTCCGCTCCCTAAACCAAATAGACTTAAAAAGTTATTTACACTTATAGGCATCTCTTGCTTTTCTTATTAACAGAAGATTGGGGAAATATTTCTAGCCTACTGGAATAGATTTCATTCTTTTTTTGAGGATTGGGGGGGGTCTCACTCTGTCACCCAGGCTGGAGTGCAGTGGTGCAATCTTGGCTGGCTGCAACCTCTGCCTCCCTGGATCATATGATCCTCCCATCTCAGTCTTCCAAGTAGCTGGGACTACAGGCGTGCACCGCCACACCTGGCTAATTTTTGTATTTTGGTAGAGATGGGGTTTCATCATGTTGCCCAGGCTGGTCTCAAACTCATGAACTCAAGCAATCTGCCTGCCTCAGCCTCCCAAAGTGCTAGGATTACAGGTGTGAGCCACTGCACCTGGCCTCACTCTCTTTTTAATAGCTGCCTAATATTCTACAGTTTGGAAGTCATACATTTTATTGAACAGTTTCCCTGTTAAAGGACACTCATCTTGTTTCCAATTTGCCTTGGTTTTGTTTTTGTTTTTTGATTTGAGCATGATAAAAGATGCTGCAGTGAACATTCTTATGTCTATCCTGGAATACTTGTGTTTTTTTTATGGCCCAGGAAAGGGCTTTGCTGAGTTAAAAATGCATGTGTACTTTCAATTGTAATAGATGTTGTCAAAATATTTCCCAGCAATGTTCCAAAATACCCTTCCCCCATCCTATCCATTGTAGGCATCTTCCCCGCTCTGATGAGAATGGGTTGCAACTGCAGCACTGGTGGCATAGCCCAGGCATTTGTTAACATGCCATAGTATATTTCCGGGGAGTTTAATACTCCACTGAAAAAAACTGTGGTCAGACTCTATGATTTGGGTTACTTGCAATTTTTCTTTTGTATTTCTTAAGGAATTCATAGAAAGTTGACAGCAGGGAAGAAATTTGAGATCATTTTAATGCAACCCATTCCTTTTACAGATTAGGAAATTAAAATCCAAAGAGGTGGAAGGAGTTACAGTGAGCTACTTACTGTCTGCTGCTTCAGGGAAGCAGATGCTCTGAATCCCAATCTGGGGCTTTACCTATTACAACATGCTGCTCCTGCACTGTGGCCCATGCTGACAGTGAGTTTTAGCGAATAAACCAACAGACTCCATCTGTGAGCTGAATCAACAAATGGGGATGACCAGTTTCCAGTTTTTTCACCTCCTGCTAGGACAAGCGAGTTTCCCAGCCTACACTGGTTGTGGAATTTGCTTTGCAAACGTCTGCAAAGAAAACAAGACATTTGTTAACTTGGTCTTGTCAGTGAAATTTGTTGCTCTTAATCTTTTGAGGGCCTGGAATTTTCCTTTTCTATAATGCTAGAGTTTCTGCTCAACAGGTGAGAAGCAGCTATCTTGGATCATAACCAAAATAACAATAGTGAGGCAGAGGAAAGAAGATTTTGTTTACAGAAATGGTTTCCTGCTAGGCAGTCCTCTCTCAGCCCTCCTGAATTGAAAACTAAGTATTAGTAGGGATGCCTAGAAAAAAGACCTTCTGTAGGGCCCACTGATGTTTCTGGCAGTGTAGAGAATTTGACAAGGGTTTATATGGATGTTCTCTAGGGCTGAAATAAAAGAAACTTGGAAGGAAGCTATTTTTGCACCCTGAGTCTTTAAACTCAGCTTTAATATTACAGTTTCAGGTTTTGCCGATGGATTCTGTGAGGGAAATAAAAAGGAAGACTCCAGCCTTTGGGTTCCCATTTGGGTTTGCTCTGTGTTCATTGCAGAGCATTTGACAGCATGGCATTAACTTTCCAGGCTGTCTGTAAATAAAGTCAGACTGTTTAGGTAGCTCACTTCTGCTCATGTCAGCTCTTAACAATAAAGAGCTTTTATAACAATAAAAATCATCATGATGGAGATTCATATTATCATAGATAAACATCACAAGCACATTAAGTATACTTTCACCTAGAGGCATGCCTTTGTATTTCAGACCTGGCCATGGTTCCTCTGGTGTACTAGTTTCCAAGTCTGCAGATTGGAACCACTAGAGAACTTTTAAAAGATATTCATGTCTGGATACCATGCCTGAATTAAACAGAATATGTGCAAGAGGAGGCCAGAAATTGAATATTAAAAGCATCTCAGCTGATTCTAAAAGGCAGCCATGTTGAGAACTTCTGAGCAGGCTATTTGGAATAAACAGTATGTCTCTGTTTAATGCAGAAAGAAATCAGATATAATGCGAGTTGTTCTTTTTAGAATTTCGTGTCTGCGCATCATCTCTCGTAGTCTACTTCCTCTCTCTTTCCCCATTCTATATATTGTATAGATTAAAACAGTGGAATCACATCTTCTAAAGTCAGTTCATAAAACAAAAAAATGGAATCATTGAAATGCACCCTAGGTTAGAGACCAACATACCATCTCTTGGTACACCCAGCATGTTCAATTTTTCCTCTAGGATTGAAGCAGATCAGTTTCCTTGGTGAAGATTCTGACAAAAATAGTTAGCAATTGGGATCCAGGATATATGCAAAAAATATATATATATATATTTAAATATTAGAATAACACTCAGCTTGGTGAGATACTTGAGCCCTAGGAAGCACACAGGAATTGAGACTGCCTTAGGGAACTGCAGAATCCTATTTCTCATCTCACTCAATTCTGAGTGGAGTGCAGTGGCATGTGAGCAGAGCCATGGGCACTCTTTCAATTGTAAAATTTTCTCTATCTGTGACTCCTTCTAGGCACATGTACTTGAATTCAAATAAATTGAATGTTAAATGCACATGTAGATATGACACCACTGCATTTGCTTATTTAATATTGAAAAACTGAACACTTCTTTGCACGCATAGCTTTCAGCAGCGCTCTTTCTTTCTGTCCTTTAGCATTCCCATGGTTTGGCATGGACATCGGTGGAACGCTGGTTAAATTGGTCTACTTCGAACCGAAGGATATTACAGCCGAAGAGGAGCAAGAGGAAGTAGAGAACCTGAAGAGCATCCGGAAGTATTTGACTTCTAATACTGCTTATGGGAAAACTGGGATCCGAGACGTCCACCTGGAACTGAAAAACCTGACCATGTGTGGACGCAAAGGGAACCTGCACTTCATCCGCTTTCCCAGCTGTGCTATGCACAGGTTCATTCAGATGGGCAGCGAGAAAAACTTCTCTAGCCTTCACACCACCCTGTGTGCTACAGGAGGTGGAGCTTTCAAGTTTGAAGAGGACTTCAGAATGGTAGGTCGGGTTTGTCTTTGTTAAAACAGCAAAACCTTTCACATGTACATAATCATGGCCACTCATACCTAAGAAACAGACTACTAGCCTTGGGACTCTGGACAAGCTTATGTCACCTCTCTGTGCCTCAGTTTTCTCACCTATACAAGAATAAAAACAGCTCCTACCTCACAGGGTTGTTACATGTAGGATTAAATGAGATAATATGTACCTGGCACTTAGTAAGTGCTCAATATAGTTATCATCATCATCATTTCTATTACAATTATTGCTGGGTAATATACTAAAGACAAGATGCTAAAATCCCTTCTGAAGTATTTCAGTTAGAATTATCCACAGACTTTTACTATATAATCATGATGCCAATTTTATGCATATATAAACAGAGACCCACGGGAAGGCTTCTATGACTCCTATCAAAAATGATTAATTCTATCTACGCATTTGCTCTCAAGTGCCTTTTTTCAGCATATGAATGCCATTCAGAAGTTTTGCTCACAAACAGAAGTGAAATCTGGAATATTATTTATCAGTGAATTCCTTCATTAATGAATACCATTTAGGGAGTGTAATTTTATATAGTAAGGATAAGATAATGCTGTTTCCTGACTGGTAGTACATACCAACTGTACGTTGCTTATTTAGATTTAACAAATGAAGCTAAATGGAAGATGTGGATAGGTAACATGCAGTCCAGTGTTTCTCTTTTTTTAGCATTCGTTTAACATCTGCGCATTCCAATTTCTTCATTTTCTACCATCAATATAATAATCTCCATACTGTGTAGTCTTTATTTTATAAAGTGAGAATAAAGTGAAACAATAGATGTAGATATATCTTGGAAAGGAAGGGAAGGAAGCTAGATAAACAAAAGTGATTGAATATAGAAGAAGGAAGGGTTGGGAGATTTTAGGATTAGTCTTACTACAAAGTCGAACATATAGTGAGGTAAGTCATAAAATACATATTCTCAAAGCCTGTAGTACAAATTACTGCCATTTTGTGTCCAACTAATGTAATCCAGTCTTGCTATAAAGTCTGTCATTAATGAATCAGTGCACATTCATGATATTTAATAAAGCTATAAATGCAAATTTTACTTGTGCCATCAAAAGTAACCCCGTTTACCTCATTGATTATAGTAAGTTTCTGTAAGAGCAGACAACAGAGTCCTAGAATAGTATCCTAAGTGAGACTAATTATCTTCAGGTTTTGTTTTTTTCTTCTATGTCCCCTCCTATTACCCATCAGTAGAGTTTGACTTGCCACTTACTTAAATGACCCATGGAGTCTGTTTCTCACCAAAGAGGCTCATGATCAAAGAGTTTTAAAACTGAGACGTTTGAGATCCATGGGCTTGAGAACTAAGTTTCAGTCCATAATGGAACCTGAATTCCAGTCCTGTTTCTACATTTCATCAGCTAGGTGACTGGGCAAGACCTGTCCCTCCTCTGGGCCTCATTTTGTCATCTGCAGAGAGGTGGGAGTAAGACTTCAGAACTGAAGGTGACCTCTGGAGGTGAGAAAGTGTAGCATTCTTGTGCTACATAGATAAGAAACTAAAGCTGCCAGAGAGATCAAAAGCTTCTAGCAATGCCACTTAGGTAAGAGCTGGGACTTGGACTCAATTCTGATTCATAAAGAAATACTGATCCACTCTTATTGCTCTGAGCTCCTCAGGTCCCTCAAGGACACCCTATCTGTCCATTTGCACTGGAGAGCCTGAAGTGAACCAGAGTGACCCAGAGGATTTATGCAACCTCTGTCAATGCCTCCATCTCTCCCCTGGGGTAATGTATACCCTGGGAGAAAGTTACTCAATATGTGTTGGCCACGAGCAGGTGTATTTCTCAAGGTTCTAAGCTGAGAAAAGTCACATCTCGTTATGACCAAGATAAAGAAGCCTCTCCTCCTTTGGACAGGCTTTTGAAGCCGAATGAGGAGACTGGAGTAGGGAGCAAATACGTAGCATTTGTTAAATAGCCTGGCCAGGTTGGGCATCCATCTCTGAAAGAAGAGTCTATGAACTGCCTTCTGTATCCAGGCTGAGTCTCAGCCAAAGTGAAGACAGAATTGAAATACATAGATCTTTTCCTATAGCCCGTTTGATATTATGTTAGTGATATGCCTGAGTCTTTCCAAATTTTATGAGGATGAATAGGTACTATCCTCCTTCCTAAGCATTCATTCACTCACTCAACAAATACTTTATCATGCACTTTCAATGCACCAAGTACTGTTATGACCAAAATAAAGCCCCTGCTCACCATGATCTTGTATTCTAGTGGGGGAAGACAGTCAATAATCAAATTAAAAAGAGAATATAGAGCCGGGTGAAAGTGGCTCACGCCTGTAATCCCAGCACTTTGGAAGGTTGAGGCAGGTGGATTGCTTGAGGCTAGGAGTTTGAAACCAGCCTGGCCAACATGGCATAACCCTATCTCTACTAAAAATACAAAAATAAGCCAGGCGAGGTGGCACACGCCTGTAATCCCAGCTACTCAGGAGGCTGAGGCACGAGAATGTCTTGAACCTGGGAGGCCAAGCTTGCAGTGAGCCGAGATTGCACCATTGCACTCCAACCTGGGCAACAGAGTAAGACTCTGTCTCAAGAAACAAAGTGAATATAGAATATATCAAATGGTGATAATTACTATGAATGGAGGGAAAAAACCAGGGCAAAGAAGATAGGGATTGCTGGCAGGGTCTTTGTGTGACTAGATTATGTTGGAGCAGAGACCTGAAGAAGTAAGGCAGCAAATCATGCAAAGAAAGAATATGTTAAGCAGATGGAGCAGTGAGTGCTAAGGCCCTTAGTGTCCTAATAATCCAAACTCTCCTCATTTCTAGAATAGAAAATCAAAGATGTTAACTTAATTGTAAAGGATCAATATGTACTACTGTACATATTCATACAATTTGACAAATAATACAGAAGTGCATCTACATACCTATAAAGTCCTGTTCTTGTTATTGCATAAAATCACTGTTTTTGGTATAACATAACTTTGCAGGTAGGAGTTTGAAAAGTCCATCTGTGTGATTTATTTGAGTGATTAGGGCTAGGTAAAAGATGTTCAACAGACCCCAAATAGTAAGCAATTGTTATATTTGAATAATATTTTTAAAAAATATATAGTCTATGTACTTGAATCCTTAGATAACGTAACTATTCTACATTCCATTTAAAATGTACAAGAAAGAACTATAAACCATGACACAATCATTAAATTAGACCTGTGTAGAATACTCTCAGTTGAACAGATCTGCACTTTGTTCCTCCTTTTTCTTTCCTTCATTTTTTTCTTCCCACCATCCCTCCCCTCCTTCTTTCCTTTCTTGTTTTCTTTTTTAACATTTTAGGATCATTGTCACAACCAAATTTTTGACTGGCAAAAATTAGCCTTCAAAATCAATGATTTATCACAATGGAACATAGAAGAAAAACTTAGTCTAACTTCAAATAGGCTAAGATGTTGATAAGCCAATGAGGAATTCCCACCATTTAAAAAGTGGCTTTCAAGATGGAGAACTCTGCATGACTGTGCACCAAGGCTCTGTAGGTTTCAGTGAATTTTGTGTTTATTCCCATTGTCTATATTCTGTGGGTTTTGTTTTAAATAACCTAGCAGAATATTTTGTGTACAGATTCTAGTATTTTTATTCACAACCACACTTCTAACTTCAACAACCATATTCTCAAGAATGCAAGGTATTTTTAACATCAGAAAATTTATTTTTCAAAAGTCATTAGTTCTGCCTGTGTAGCTTTTCATTACAATACAGGCATACCTTGTTGTATTGCCTTTTGCTTATTAGGCTTCATTTTTTGCGCTTCACAGATACCGCATTTTTTACAAATTGAAGGTTTGTGGCAACCCTGCATTGAGCAAGTCTATTGGCACTATTTTTCCAATGGCTTGTACTCACATTTGTCTATGTCACATGTAGGTAATTCTTGCTGTATTTCAAACTTTTTAATTATTGTTATATCTGTTATGGTGATCTGTGATCAGTAATCAGTGATGTCACTGTTGTAATTGTTTTGGGGCACCACATTATGCCCATGTAAGATGGCAAACTTAATTGATAAATGTTGTATGTTCTGACTGCTCCACTGACAGGCTGTCCCTCCATCTCTCTCCCTACCTCAGGCCTCCCTATTTCCTGAGACACAGCAATATTAAAATTAGGCCAGTTAATAGTCTTACTATTGGCCTAATTGGCTTCTACATATTCAAGTGAAAGGAAGAGTCACATGTCCCACACTTTAAATCAAAAGCCAGAAATCATTATGCTTAGTGAGAAGGGCATGCTGAAAACCGAGACAGACCAAAGCCTAGGCCTCTTGTGCCATATGGTTAGCCAGATTGTGAATGCAAAGGAAAATTAAAAGTGCTACTCCAGTGAATACACAAATAATAAGAAAGAAAAACAGATTTATGGCTGATACAGACTTTTAGTTGTCCAGATTAAAGATCAAACCACCCACAACATTCCCTTAAGCCAAAGTCTAATCCAGAGCAAGGCCCTCAGTTCTCTAGAGTCTGAGAGAGGTGAGGAAGCTGCCAAAGAAAAGTTGAAAGGTAGGCGGGGTCCTGTGGCTCATGCCTGTAATCCCATTACTTTGGGAGGCTAAGGTGAGTGGATCACTTGAACCCAGTAGTTCAAGACCAGCCTGGGCAACATAGTGAAACCCTGTCTCTACACAAAATAAAAAAATTAGCCAGATGTGGTGGTGCACCCCTGTAGTCCCAGCAACTCAGGAGGCTGAGATAGGAGGATCACTTGAGCCCAGGAGACAGAGGTTGCAGTAAGCTATGATTGTGCCACTGCACTCCAGCCTGGGTAACAGAGTGATACCCTGTCTCAAAAAAAACATGAAAAGAAAAGTGGGAAGGTAGCAGAGGTTGTTGGTTTGTGAGGTTTAAGGAAAGAAGCCATGTCCATAACATTAAAGTGCAAGATAAAGTCCCAAGTGCAATGTAGAAGCTGCAGCA